TGCCCAATAGAGGGAACTTATACTCCTACGGGGGCACGTAGTTTTAGGACTATGAGGGTACGCTAAACCCTAGTTCAACTCGGTGCTCAGTCTACTCCCAACGGAATATGTATATGATACAAATGCAATTGAAATGTTGAATTACTGAATAGCTCAAAAATACTGACATATAATATGAGAATGCAACATTTATATACTGATAATGTAACATTTAACATTTGGAGCATGATTATCTGTTCAACTGACCTAGCAAGTATAATTCGTGAGCTAAGAAAATATATTCAACTAGGGTTATGAGTTTCATACAAGGAATTAAGCAAACTTTCCAAGAAACAAGCTTTTTTCGATTTAGGATACTACAACAGCTAAATCATAGTAAATATCGAGGGTTATAGAAATCCTAGGTCTAAACAAGATATAGAGAATCAAGGAACTGACTGAATTCTAGGGACCTAGTGGATGAAGGGAACCCACTAGCGAATCCCACATACCCAGTGATGAAATATACGGAGAAATCCTTCGATTTCGGGGCTGAAACTTGAAGCAAACATCCTGATTGTTCTTGGGAAACTGACGCCTCTTTCTTCTCCTTTTTGCTCTAAGTTTTGATGGTTTTTGGAAAATAAGGGTTCTGGGTATGTCAAACTAAGTTTTTAGGCTTAAACTGAGTAAAACGATGTAGTCTAGGCATTAAATGACTTAGTTTAAGGTCCCTAACGCATAGGGAAAAGACCTAAATGATGCTAACTTAAAAAATGACGAAGGCAATCCATGGAGGGACCTACGGACCGTCGTTTGGACTAACAACCGTCGACTGCAGTGGTGGTTCTTGGTCTTCCAGACATTTCTTCACTAAAACGAGCATACATTTTTACTCGGAGCTGGGATTTTAGCAAACTCGGTGGAGTTGGAAGAGGATTCAATTATATTTAATTTGATAGGTCATGGGCCACCTAATTCATTTTGTGCTAAAAGATAATACCGTTTGAAGTTGACCCAACAACCATTTCCCTCCAATTAGCTTCTTACCCTCACCCACGGTAGACCTACGGTCCATAGGTCCAACCACGGACCGTACTGGTCGATCGTGGGTTAGATCATAGACCATCAACATTTGGGCCTTACCAATGGAAACCCACCTACAATCCGTGGTTCTACCTATTGTCTGTGGGTGGTTCCATCGGTACTGGCACAAATTTTTTCTGAAAACTAGGATTTTCTTCATTTTGAGGAGCGAGGTGTTACATTACTCATCATGTACTAAAAGTTATGGTCATTTGAAGTTGACCTAAATCTCACAATTTAAGACTAACTTGCAAAATTCTCAGTTTGGCTCTTTCCAAATTGGTTTTTGCTAAGATTAGTTCTTTCGAAATCTGAGGTGTTGCAATATCTCCTCCTTGAGAACATTATTCCTCGAATGATATTACTCTAAATAGAACTAAGGGTGGCAACATCTAACACCTAACTCAAACACCCAACATGCATTTTAACATAACTGAGCATACCAATTTAAAGAGTGTTTTACAAAAAAATCATTACCTTGGTCTAGAATTTCCCCGGAAGGAAAGAGATGTGGTTATATCTTCTTTATATCCACCTCAGCCTCCCAAGTAGCTTCCTCAGCAAACTGGTTCCTCCATAAGACCTTGACTGATGCAACTTCCTTGGTTCTCAACTTGCGAACCTGACGATCAAGTATCTCAACGGGAATCTCCTCATAAGATAGGTTGTCCTTAATACCAATATTTTTAGTAGGTAAAATAAGTGAAGGATCGCCCATACACTTCTTCTACATTGAAATATGGAATACCGGATGGACTATTGCTAACTCTGGCGATAGCTCAAACTTATAGGCTATATTGCCAATCCTCTCGGATATCCTGTTACGACCAATATACTGGGGACTGAGCTTCCCTTTCTTACCAAATCTCATAACACCCTTCATGGGTGACACCTTCAAGTAAACCCAATCACCCACCTCAAACTCCAAGTCTTTTCTCCTAAGATCAGTATAGGATTTCTGACGAGTTTGAGCTGTTTTTAACCTTTCTTGAATGATTTTCACTTTCTCCATAGCATGATTAACTATGTATGGCCCTATCAACACAGCTACACCAACTTCAAACCATCTAATATGAGATCTACATCTTCTCCCATAAAGTGCCTCAAAAGGATCCATCTAGCTACTAGAGTGATAACTGTTGTTGTAAGCAAACTCTATGAGAGGTAAGTGATCATCCCAATTATCCTTGAAATCGATCGCACATGCCTTCAACATATCCTCTATGGTCTGAATTGTGTGCTCTGCTTGACCATCAGTCTAAGGATAGAAAGCAGTACTAAGGTTCAACTTCAAACCCAAACCTTTCTGGAAAAACTTCCAAAATTGTGTGGTACATTATGCAACTCTATCTGAAATGATGGACAACGAAACTCCATCAAGTCTGACTACCTCTTGAATATATAATCTGGCATAATCGTCAGCTGAATAGGTAGTCTTTACCGTCAAGAAATGGGCTGAATTAGTCATTTGATCTACAATCACCCAAATCCAATCATGTTGTCTTCATGAACACGACAAACCAGTAATGAAATCCATATTGATCATCTCCCACTTTCATTCCGAAAGATCTATGTTCTGAGACATACCACCAGGCCTCTAGTGCTCTACCTTGACTTATTGGCAATTCGGGTACTTAGCAAAGAACTCTGCAATACACCTCATCATACTACTCCACAGAAAGACTTTCTCAAGTCATGATACATCTTTGTGGAACCCGGATGGATAGAGTATTTGGAGCTATGAGCTTCTTCCATGATCCTCTCTTGGAGTTTATCCACCTTTGGTACACACAATCTACCTTGATACCTCAATACACCATTTCCCTTAAAAAGCCATCACTTTCTGCTTATGAGCATTGCCTTCAATTCAAGTAAAACAGGGTCTTGATCTTGTTTCTCTTTCACTTCAGACACTAGTGATGATTCAACCCCGTTCATCACCACCACTCCACTTCCATTGGAATACAACAACCGGAATCCCAATCGTGCACGTTTGTGCACATCTTTGGCTAATTCTCTCTTTCCTTCCTCCACATGGGTAGTACTACCCATAGATAACATGCTCAAAGCATCAACAACAACATTATTCTTACCTAGGTGATAGAGAATACTCATGTCATAATCCTTAATTAACTCCAACCAACTGCTTTGTATGAGATTAAGCTCTTTATGAGTTAGTACATACTAAAGTCTTGTGATTGGTGAACACATAAACATGAACACCTTAGAGATAGTGACACCATAATTTCAAAGAAAACACTACAACAACCAACTCTAGATCATGGGTTGGGTAATTCTTCTCGTGAATCTTAAGCTTTCTAGAGGCATAAGCTATAATTTTGTCATTCTGCATCAATACACAACCCAGTACAACTATGGACGCATCACAATACACCACAAAGCCTTGTGTACCCTCCGATAAGGTCAACACCAGGGCAGTAGTAAACCACATTTTCAATTTCTGAAAGCTTTTCTCCCAAGCTTTCGAACATTAGAACTTTGATGTCTTCTTAGTCAAATCTGTCAATAGGAAAGAAATAGATGAGAACCCCTCGACAAACCTTATATAATAACCAGTCGATCCTAAGAAACTCATAATATCAGTTGGAGATATGGGTCTGGGCTAGTTCTGCACTGCCTCAATCTTTTGATAGTCAACCTGAATCTGTTCTCCAAATACAAAGTGGCCTAAGAATGCCATTGACTAAAGACAAAACTCACACTTGGATAATTTGGCATACAACTCCCTATCTTTGAGAGTTTAGAGAACTACTCTGAGATGACTAGCATGGTCCTCCTCATTCTTAGAATAAATTAGAATGCCATCAATGAACACGATAACAAAAATATCATAACATGGCTTAAAAAAGCTATTTATAAGGTCCATGAATGCTACAAGAGTATTAGTCAAACCAAAAGACATGACTAGAAACTTATAATGACGATAGTGGGTCCTGAAAGATGGCTTTGGAATATCACTCTCTCTTACTCTTAACTAATGATAGCCCGATCTGAGATCTATCTTAGAAAAGAAAGTGGCACCCTGAAGTTGATCGAAAAGATCATCAATTCTCGGAAGGGGATACTTATTCTTTATAGTAACCTTGTTCAATTGGTGATAGTCAATACACATCCTAAGAGAAGCATATTTTTTCTTCACAAATAAGACCGGAGCGCCCCAAGGTGAGACACTTGGTTGAATGAAACATTAGTTAAGGAGATCTTTCAACTGCTCTTTTAACTAAATGGGAGCCATTCTATATGGTGGAATACAAATAGTTCGAGTGTTAGGAAGAATATCTATACCGAAGTCTATTTCTTTCTTAGGAGGGACTCCAGGAAGATCAACTGGAAAGACCTTTGGAAATTCACTCACAACTCGAATTGACTGAATAAGTGGTGTCTCAACACTAGAGTCATTAACTTGGACTAAGTGATAACTTTCTGGCTTTAAGGTACGAAATAAAACGACACTTAGGCAATTTTGAACTACTCCTCCACTCTATAACGGGCTCATTAGGAAACTAGACCATAACTACTCGAGTTCTACAATCAATTGAGGCGTAACAGGCATGAAGCCAGTCCATACCTAGAATAACATCAAAGTCCACTGTATCTAACTTGACTAAGTTAGCCATGGTGTCCTTGTGATTCACAAAAATGGTATAATCACGATAAACTCTCTTAGCTAGAATAGACTCACCAACAAGTTTTGAAACACTGAAGGGCTCAAGAAGTTGCTCAGGAAGAATATCAAAATTCATAGCAATATATGGAGTCACAAAAGCTAGACTCTCACCTGGATCAAACAATGCATACACATCAAGAGTAAAGACTTCGATCATACAAGTGACAACATTAGGTGAATGCTTTTGCTCTTGGCGACTGCTAATAACATATAGAGGGTTTGCTCCTCCGCCTGTCCCTAAAGTAGCTCATCTAGTTGCAACTCTATTTGACGGATCCACTGAAGAAGATTGGGCTCTATTGCCCCCATTACCACTACCCTTCTTGTTCTTAGGGCGCGCTCCCATGAAGTGACCTGTCTAACCACAGTTAAAATAACTAGTGGAGAAATCACGACACGCTCCTAGGTGTTTCCTACCATGCATATCAGATGCAGGAGTCCAATTGGCCCCTTGTGCCATACTACCTTGAGACTGAGAAGGTCGAGCTTTAAAGTTCTATAAGTTCTAATTCCTGAACTCACCTCTGTTCTTTAATTCAGGTGCACTAGCAGATGATGGAGCAGGTCCACTTGATTTTTGTTGAAAAGATGACCGGTTCGCATTGTTCTTTTGCTGCCCAGACTCATTACCTATGATCTTAGCCTTCTTGCTGCGGAACTCTTCCCTATCGCTCAACTTGTCCTCCTTAACCTTCTGCACGTGGATCATAAGCCTTGCTATGTCCATGTCCCCTATCAACATAGCAACTTTATCCTCTTTGATTGGCAATCGAGAAAACCCAGACACAAATAAGCTCTTTATGCTTCTCATATCAGCAACCATCTCCGAAGCATAACGGGACAGTTGAGTGAACTTGAGGTTGTACTCATGCAAACTTATGGATTCTTTCTTAAGGGTGAGGAATTCTCTTACCTTTGCCTCTCTCAGCTCACGGGGAAAGAAACGCCCCACGAAGGCACGTTTGAACACAACCCAGCTCATAATTGGTGCCCCTTCAGCTCAACTGTTCTTCCATTGGTCGTAACAACCTCTAGCAACACCCTTGAGTTGGTATGCAACTAGTTCCACATGCTCAACATCTGCAACATGCATCACCTCAAACATTTTCTACAACTCTTCCACAAAGATTTTGGATCCTCAGTGACACTTGAACCGGTGAAGTTTGTAGGATTCATCCTCAAGATCTCATGGAATCTGGATTTATAACCCATATCCTGTCGAACCCCTCTTTATTGCCAAGCTTGGTTGGTCACAACTTGACTCAACATCCAGTTAGCATCCCGAAGCTCAGCATTAGTGAACTCTCCTTCGAGTTGCACTTCTGGTGCATTGGGGACCCTTTGATCCAAAGGATCAACATTCCTCCTACCACGACGATGTCAAACAACTCTTCGTGGAGGCATGATCTGAAAGATACGTGCAAGCACTAATTAGAAAGAAACTTTTATAGAGGAACTCTATAGCACTAAAAGTTTATGAAAGAAGTGAGATATTTCCTAAATTTCATAGCCTCTTAATTATAGATGTGGCGCGCTTCACACCGATAACTAAGACTCTATAGACACGACTTCATAGACAACCTAGAACTCTTGAACTCTGTGCTCATATACCAACTTTTTCACTCACCGAGCCTACACCCTGGGCATAGCCGACACTCGAGAACCATTGTTCTCCCCAAGCAAACCCTTGGCCTGACTCATCTCTTAGCGGAAGACTTACTCAACAATAAAGTCCCCTCAAATATAACTCAACTCATAAAGACAACATTACTAAAATTAGTTTAGCTCAATATAGTCTGAAATAGTCAGTAACATAACTGTTCAACTCAAGTGTTAAACATTTAACAATAGAAATGGAAAATACTTCTCAAAATAATACTATCTATGAAGCTTCTAATGACAATGATGGAAGTCAGGACAAGACCCACGACATTCTAACAAAATTGAAAAGTAAATGGAATCCTCCGGAAGTAAGGAGGCCCACCAAAGAAACTCTGGAACTGTAAGGGATATCAACGGTGCACCTTTTGATGACCCTAAACTCATATATCTTCATCATGAAAGATGCAGGCCAAATGTCGTTAGTACATGGAATGTACGAGCATTCAAGGAGAAGTCTAAAGAACATATATAAGCTTGAATTGATAAAAAGGAAGAGCATACTCACCTCATCTCGACTCAACTCAAGGATACTCAAACTCAGAAATACTCAACTCAGTAAAATATAAAAGCAACAATAGAGATGCATTATAAAGAAATCTATTAAAACAGTAGATATTAACTCAATGTATTTAAAAACTACAATAATAACTCTTTTTGTTTTATTTGGGAGATTCTCTAACCAACAACCATCACTATGAGCTATGTGTTGATACAACGTCTCGCCCACACTACCAAAACTATCTTATACCTTGCCGGAGTATAGGAAATCCTCAACTAAGTGGATCCACTAAGCTATGCTTAAAAAGAAATAAGGGATCATCTAAAAAGTATGATCCTTTTTATCCATGTTTATATCCATGGTTTATGAGGACTTTGAGTTGTCTGAACTAGTCCTCATATCAGTGCTCAATACTACTCCCAATAATATAACTTATGCTCATATGTTTAAAAACATTTCCTCATCCTTAAACTTTGAGATTATTACTCAAAAGGGTCTTTAAAAAGAGATAATGCTAAAAATACCTCATGAACTCATTTTGGAAATCAAAGTTTCCTCTCATTTTAAATGTAAAAGTATTTACTCTTGGGAATACTTAGTTCCCACATATTCATATTGAAAAATAAAAGTCAACTCTCCTCATCCTCATACTTAAGTACTCAAGTATTTAAACAAGTTTTTAAAAGTTTAAAAAAGACTTCTCAAATGACTGAAAAGAACTTCCTCAAACTTTACTCCCAACTTTATCTTGAATTTCAATTATGAATTCAAGAGTTATGACTTATGATATAGAGGATCTCTTGATGATTAGATGTAGTTGAGAATAGTTATACTCAGGAAGAGAGTGAAGATACATTTTAAAAGAACTTTGACGAGACGAACGATGAAAAAAGAGAGTGGGTAGACGGCCCTGGCGCACTAAGTGGTGCGGGGCACCAACCCCTAAACTCCAGAGCATCATTTCTGGCACACTGCTAGCATGTCGCCCCAGGCCGTTCCCAGAAAAGTTGACAAATTTTCCTCTCCCATTTTTGGCCCTAATTAACCTAGAATTGATTGATTCCTCCTAAACTCTCATAGATTTGTATACCCAACATATGTAAATGAAAATCTACTAAACCCAACTCTCAAACTCATAACATTCACCTCTAGAACTCATCAAATCCCATTATTAAAGATTTAAGAAAGAAACTTCAAGAAACTTATCAAGAACCTCAATACATGGATTTTCATGGACTAAATTAAATCAAGAAACTAATGATTGGCGTGAGGGTAAATGAACTAATAACTATGAAAGCTTACATACTGTCACACCTCGACTTCGGGAATGAATAGAAAGGGGTCAAATAGGTAAGTCATCAGCCCCAAACTGGACCGTGGGACTCTCCACGGAGCCCTAGATGGGCCATGAAGGAGACTACGACCCATTTTGGTGCTCGTGAAGTCATTCCAGAACTTGCCCAAAAAGGTTCCCCTCCCACAGACCCTTAGATGACATATGGTAAGCATCATGGACCATACAAGTGGTCGTCAAGTGGGTCAAGTAAGTAGCGGTTCTCCCATAGCTACTGTTGAAGAAACACGGGCATCACAACAGCCCGTGAAGCCCCACACGGACCGTGAAGTCATCCGTGAAGAGGTTTTCATTAGACTTAGAGTTTTGGGTCAAATTTAAACTATCATATCTTTTAGCACAAAACGAATTAGGTCGCCCATGACCTATCAAATTAAAGATCACTGAGTCCTCTTTCCAATGCCACCAAGTTTGCCTAATTCCAAGCTCGGGGTAGAAAGTTATTTTCAAAAAAGTGAAGCACCTTAGGTAGAATTTCTTCATGACCCATTTGATGGGCCTTGATAGTGTATGATGGCCCGTTTCCTTTAAATGCTAATTTGTTTGATTGATTTATGAACTTTTATGCATGAATGGAAGAAATTGCATGTTTTTAAGTTGATTTACCATGAACCGATGCATCACCCATATTTTATAAGTAATGTTGATATAATGTGGGTCTTGAACTATGAAAGATGAATTTATGAAAATATACATGTCTTCTCTTTAAGAAATTGATGTAAATAAATTTGAAGACATGATGAAATTATGAATTATTGAAAATAAAGCATGTTCATGAAAGTATATTTATGACTCAAGAAAAGCTTATAGATGAGATTGTCTATATGTTCTATGAAGCTTGGCTACATGACATGAATGAAATCTAGATTTGCCCTTAATGCTTTTCAGGCTATTTTCCTAAATTAGGTCTTGTTTAATATGTTATCCAGATATGCCATCAATGATTAGAGACCATAATTTCAAAACTATTTCCATTAGTTTGAGGGGCATCTATATCATGAAGTGAACAACTATGGGCCTTAAAAGCTATTATGAAGTGATCAAGGATGGTGAAAGGTTTTGTCACACATTGTTTAAGGAGCTATCCTATGATAAGGCAGGTGGTAACTACCCATGTCTCTTAATGATAAGATAAGTCAAGACTTAGTAACTACTCTATGGGATTTATGGTTAGCAGTGATAGGATTTTAAGATGGAAGCTCTCCTGCGTTGAGGTTGGGTTTCTAGTAGCAATCTCCTTATCGCTTACCTATGTGCCCTCATAGAATGATGGTCTAGATAGATATTAGCTACTAGTTCCACTTTATTTCAGATTCATGGTCCTACCTTGGAAAGTAGGACAACCTTTTTTGGTATGGGAGACATCGGGGATCATGTTATAGCTCATATGGTCTTTATGTCGGTTACAACTAATTCCCACAACAATAATGAACTACAGTTACTTCAAAAAGTATCTCACATATGCTCAAAGATGGTTTTACTTGCATTGGTCGCGATAACATTTTATGTTTTCTAACCCTTCTATCTTATGTTTGAATTTAGTTTTACATATAGTGAAAATGTCCTTTCTAGCATGATTTCATACTTTTATGCATGGCTATCATATTTAGTTCATTTTGTACTAACACATACTCTTACATATATTTCCACAAATGTAGGGTTTGACGATTCTTCATTATATATTTACTTTAAGTGTTTGGAACTTGATGTATGGATTACGTCCCGATGGCTTTGAGACGCTGTCTAAATTTCTGCTCTTCTCCATAAAACTTCTATGTGTTGAAACTGTATTTTAAATATTTTAAACTCTATTATCTTATATGATGTATGCTAAGTGGCTTGTATGCAGCCTTTCAGGGTCTTGTACGCCATGTTACACCTAGGGACTACCTGGGGTGTAATAAACTTGGTATTTAGAGCACAAGGTTTAGAAAGGTCCTAGGATGTCTATAAGCCATGTCGAGTAGGGTCTTGTTCATGTTCATGAGTCTGAAGCGTGCCACATTTATGAATGAGAGGCTATAAGATGTTTAGGAAACTTTAGCTCTTTCATTACTCTAAAGTCGTGCAATAGAGTGTAACTCTAGGTGTCTTTTCTCTCCTAATTCCTGTTTATGCTTTTCAGAATATGCCTCCATGAAGGAATCATGTGAGAAGGAATAGGAATGTTCGTGACTATTTGGGACAATAGGTTCCCCAAGTGCCGATCAACCCTTTGGTCGAGAAAGTAATGATGAGTTTCGAGCCACATTTCATGCATTGGCCCAAGCTATGATGGTATCAGCAAATAGAGAGGTTATTGCTCCCATGAACCCAAGGGTGGGTACGATGACAACAAGGGTGAGAGACTTTATTACGATTAATAATCTGGAATTTCATGGGTCTAGCGTTGAAGAAGATCCACAAGAGTTCATTGATGAGGTTTATAAGGTGTTGATGATCATGGCAGTGACTTTAGTGGAAAAGG